TGGTTTAACCTACTATATCTCTATGTTGATTAAAGCCAAACAATCGTATTAAATATTCGTGAAAATAACTCATTGGGTCACCTAGGGGTATATCTCTATCCTTTACACAAATCTAGAGTTTCTACTATTTGGTCTAAAATGCACAATATTCTCTCAAATGATATCCAAATCACTAAACATAATCATTCATTGGCCATATAAATGAAAATACAATAAATACAACAGTAGAAACACATGAAATAAATAATTTAACATTAAAGAGCAAATATCAAAATTAATTAAAAGTTAAGTTAAATTAATACCATAAATCTTAATACAAATAACTTAGCCCATTGTATACAAATAATAAAAATGAGAATATTTTACACAATCCATTACAAATATGGCAAAATAATTGAGAAAAATACAAAGTTATAGATATAGCCCTTTTGAAACTTGACTATGACTTTCTCAAATATTTATCCAAAACCTTAGATAGATTCTTCTTGTGCTCTTGATTTCACTTCCAAATTGCCAAGAAAAATGGAAAGAAAAAAGAAGAGAAAAAAAAAGAAGAAAAGGAAAGAAAAGTAAAAGAAAATGAAAGAGGAAGAAGACCTAGCCCAAGAATCCCTAAATTTGACCAACCAAACTGTATTTAAATGGCAAAAAATCATCTAAGGTGAAATTGCGAAAGAAGTCCCAAATTTTACGCGAAATAAGCAAAATTCACCCAGTCGAAAAGCAGTGCGTGCACACGGACACTTGCGGTGCACGTGAGCCGTTAGAGGCTTTTGGCGTCAGGAGATCACAAAGAGCCTCCCGCGTGAGCACCATCGCGCAGGCTTTCTTTGTTTCTTTTTCCAACTTAGTCCTCCAATTAAATGCACACAAGGCTCTTCAATTTTGATCATGTACAATTTGGTCCTCAAAATTTGATTTTCATTTCACTTTTCCCTCGAAGATTGCAAACCTAGGTCCTTGAACTTTAGGCCCTTTTGCATTTTGGTTCCCAGCTTCACAAAATTGCACACGTTTAGTCTTTTTTTCTCCTTTTGCTTTGTTTTCTTTCTTTCGGTAATTTTTGGCCTACAAAAGTAAATATTATATAATTGTGAGTAGAATTTCATTCATTTAATCAATTAATAACATATTTAGATATTCAATAAGTGTGTAAAAAACACCTATCAACCACCTACTTGCATCAACAACCTAACACGCAGCCCAACACATACATAGTGAAAATTATAGATTGCAAGATATCACACTACCCAAATTGCAGATCACACCAATATATAAATCTTTACTCTTTTCATATAGACATATTGCACCACCTAGATTGCCAGAGACCACTCGTTGCCACTTGACGACGTTCAATAATTACGAAGATCACTCACCACTACCACAACATCGACATATATAATAAAGGTGGACATATTTCGAAGATGGGGTTTGACGATGGAGATTCGAGCAAAAGGCATAACCTAACAGCAACTGCGACCATAGACGATGCAAAGTGAGATGGTGAGTATAGATATTGTGCACCAATCCACCACATGATATGAGAGGAGAAGGCGTTGGCTCGTTATCGTGAATGATGGGCAGAGTTTGTGGGTCTTGACCAGATGGTTTGTGTAGTAGATAGAGAGATATATTAGGGAGATAGTGTATGTCACATATATTTGGTGTGAGAATGAGGTGAGTTGCAGTTGATTTTTGAAAGAAAAATATTTGTACTTGATTATTGAAATAAGAAGTTAACAAATAGGGGTATATAATTTCCTCATTTGAAAATGGAGGAAGCCCCAGGCCAGGCCTACACATTCTCTTAGTCATTATTGTTTTAGGTTAGTCCCTAAATCTTTATTTTTATTACATTTCAGGCACTTTGTCTTGTCTTGCTAAATCAACAAAATGTCAACAAAGAAACTCGGTGGTGCATTATTTTTATCATTCAACTAAATTTTTGTGCATATTATTATGTTCTGTTAGTTCAGCAGATTGAGGTACATAGAATGCCAATAGGCTTTAGAGAGAAAATAGTTGGGTATTTTGATACCAAATAAATTTGAGGCTACGATGAATAAACCCTGTCAACTTTTTTATTGTTGGGTTTCGTTAGAAGCTCGAGATTGAATGTCTAATTACATTGGCCAAAACCACAATTGGATGCCCATGAAACGTGGACTGTGTTTCATTCAGAGCTCGACCCACTAACTTGACATAAATGATACTGTATATGTTGGCCCAGGGGCGGACCTAGACCATTTGAACTGTGGGGTCAAAAATTTTTTTTTTCCGAACAACGTATCATGAAAAAAAGGGAAAAATCGATTGTTTACTGTTCATATTCCATATGTGCACTTTGGGAAGAAATCGTTGGATTATATGATATATTTATGAACTAAATAATGGATATGGACCATGTGATATGGATATAGATTTAGAATTTGGACTTTTTGGGGTAGAAAATTAAGTTTTCAGCACAAAAAAAAACAGAAAATTAAGCTTTCAGCACAAAAAAAAAAAAAAAAAAAAACCAGAAAACTGTGGGGTCATTTGACCCCACATGACCCCATGTGGGTCCGCCCGTGTGTTGGCCCCGTTTCCTCATTATACACGCATACACACAGTTGTATTCTAAGTTTCTCTTTTTGAAAAAAACGATAGGTTGCTTCTTGAGCATCGTCCCATTGCTTGGCTGAACTTTGACTCATCGGTGTTGACCCATATCCTTCTCCTTTTGTCGACTCTTTGGCCAATTTCTGGGCTCCAAAATAGGCCGCTGTTTATACCCTGCTTGTCTCCGTACGCAGCTATTCTCTATGTGGTTCTTGGGTGGTCTCTTTATGTCTTTTGAGTGGAATCTTTGGTTCCTTCATGTGGTGTTGCCTTTTGTGTTTTGGCCTTGTAATCTATGATAGTTCAATAATAACTAACCAAGAAGAGGGTCGACTGATTTTCAAAACTTTTTCAAAAAATTGATTGAAACTCAAGCAAGTTGGAAATAAACAAATAAATCAAACAAAATGCACAAATACAAAAGTAGTATGTAGAAGGAAGAGAGAGTGTAAACGACATAATTGTAAAGGCTTGATCCAAAAAAACGATCTACGTCCTCTATTACCAAAGTTGTCCATCATGGGCAATGCCTTTTCACTATATTTGATTGATTTATTGTGTAAACCCTTACAACGCTTTTGATGACTTACAAACAAGAACCATTTACCTTTATACAATATTAAGCTTTACAGAACCCTAATATAACCTACAAACTTGATGAGAAATGATTTTATAATTTAAAACTTCTCTTTTAATAAATGGTATAAACAAATTAATTATTAAGAGAGAAATAAGATAATATTTCAATTGAAATGCAATGAATGAGACTCAAGTGTTAGATGAATGAAGCTCAATTGTTAGATAAAAAAATTTTGATGAAAAGATGATTTTCAAAAGTTGAATCAATTAAAGATTTTCAAATTAATTGCTTGATAAAATAAATAAGATGAAAGCTCGAGAGATATACTAAGTAATTTTTCACTTTAATGCTCTAAAAAATTAAATAACATCAATCTGAAGAAGCAGATCAGAATCTGAAGAAAATGAGAACATCTTTGTGATACGAAAAAAATCAACTTAGCTTGCAGCAACATCGACGATAGTGAAGCTTATTGTCGTCTGTGCGTTGTTAAAAGCAACGATCACTTTTGCAATGTCGGCCTGACGAGAAGCTTCATCGTGGTTAGAGATGCTAGAAATAGGTAAGGATGAGGTGTCTCTCCATCGTTGTGTTGCGATAAGTTTCTCGTCGTCACTAGTGCTGCAAGTAGCGGCAAGCGCTGTCGCAACATTAGCCCGATGAGAAGCTTCGTCGCGGCCGGTGATGCTGGAGATGGGTAATGAGTGAGGCGGGTGGATGGGTAAAGAGAGAGAAGGAAGAGTGGTGGAGGAATGAGGTTTGTCGTCGGAAGGACCGATGGTGGAGTGAGGACCGTGATAGAAAAAGGGTGAGGGGTGGCTAGGTGAGAGAGAGAGAGAGAGAGAGAGAGAGATTAGAAAAATGATAGGGTTTGAAATTGAAATTGTTAGATAGGGTTTGAAATTGAAATTGAAATTGAAATTGTTAGATATAATTAAAATTTTATTAATTACAGTAATTTTAATTATCACTTAAAATTTTAATTTTAAACTTAACCCTCTTATTTATGAAAATTAATCTTTAATGGGCAACTTACAAAAATACCCTTAAAATTACAGATGTTTTGAAAAATCATATGAAAGATTTTTTGAAAGTAAAAAATACTCTGTAAAATTAAAAAGTCACATTATGTCACTTTTTTATAAAAATTATGTCACTTTTTTCACAATTCAAAAAAAGTGACAAAATTTAAAAAAAGTGACACAAACACTAAAAAAGTGACAAAATTCAAATAAAGTGACACAAATTAAAAAAAAAAGTGACGAACACCAAAATTGCACAATCCATTTGTGCAGCAACAATAATCATGATCTTAACATATTCAGGAAGTTCCACGTGAGCGTAGTGAAAATTCTTATCACATATCATATCACATTTTTAAAAAGATAAAAAAGTGACAAAAATTTGAAAGGTGACAAAACTCAGAAAAGTGATAAAATCTAAAAAATATATTTTTTGGAAATAGAAAATACTGTGTAAATTTAAAAGTTAGAAAATGTCACTTTTATATAAAAATGGTCACTTTTTTTTTTTTTAACACAATTCAAAAAAAGTGATAAACTAGAAAAAAAAGTGACAAAATTCAAAAAAATGAAACAAATAAAAGAAAGTGACAAACACCAAAATAATGCATTTATTTTGTTCACCTGACATTTCATATAATTTTTCACATATCACCATCTCACATAGACTGTAATCCACAAAATGAGTTTGAGATGATCTATGATTCAATGATTTAATAATTGTAAACCTTATTTGAAGTTAATATTCATATTAAACTTAGTTGTGATTTGTGAACCTTTGTGGTAACAATTTTTCCTGTCACACGTGCACTGAAATGGGAAGAGGAAAGTTCAAGGGCAAGCCCACTGGCTGTCGCCAGTTCTCTACTCTTGAGCAGATGATGGCGGGTAACTCTGCTTCTCGTCCTCGTACATTTAAGAAGGAAGAAGCTGAGCTAGAAGAAGAGGAGAGATCTGAAGAAAAATTAGAAGAGGAGTCTGAGGATGAAGCTGGAGCTGGAGCTGGAGCTGGAGCTGAAAAGCAAAAAGGCACTCTAGGTATTATTCAGGTTGACAATCCTAATTTGGCAAAGCCAGAGAATGTGAAAGCACGAGATATCGATATGGAGAAAACAATTGAGCTTTCTAGGCGTGAAAGAGAGGAGATTGAAAGACAAAAAGCTTGCGAAAGGTACATGAGGCTACAAGAACAAGGAAAGACAGAACAGATTAGGAAAGTTTTAGAGCGTTTGGCCCTTATACGATAACAGAGAGCAGAAGTAGCTAAAAAATGAGAAGAGGTGAAAACTGCCAAAGAGCTGAAGAAGTTGGAAGCTCGTAAATAATTTTGGCAATGCTTCAAGAATTGATATTAAGCAAGTAGTTGGATACGAGTTCAAGGATTATTATATTTCTCTGTTGGCTATTGTTACAACAGATGTTCACCCCATCGCCATTGATGGTTTGTCCATGTTATACATTAATGATATAATTATAAATAAAATGAGATGGTTCAACATAAATAAATTAAAAAAAAAACCTTTGTGGCAACATTTTGGGATCCAATAACTATATTTTATTCAATATCACCACCAGAAAGCAGGTTTACAATGCAGAAAGTAGAAAATTCTACCCAAACACGTTAGCCGTTCTTCAATGTTCCTCACCCCTCCACTTTCTCTACTGAAAATGAATTATATGCTCATCAAAAACTTCAAAATATTGGGTGTTTTCTTCTTCAACTTGTCTTACTGCACAACCAACAAAAATCACCTAAAACCTCCAACGTCAAAACCACCACGACCACCACCACAAGGAGCATAAACACCACCACCATACCTTTATACTGCCACTGTTGAAAGCCATAGTAGTCCCAAACCACCGCTACCACCACCACAAGTAGCATTAACACCACCACACCCCGATGCCGCCCCTACTGAAAACCTTAGCAACACCAAACCACCACCATAAGCAGCATCAGCACCACCACCGCAACACTCCCACTTCGCCACTGCTGAAAACCACATTAGCGTGAAAATCATCCACCGCTCTAAAGATCTTCGAAGAATTTGAAAGATTTGGTCATTGGAACCGTAGTGAAGGCGTCAGTTATATAGTGATGAAATTAATTGAAGAAATGAGATTTGAGTATATTATTTTGGCCATTAATGGGGAGAAATGAGGTCGAGAGCAGGCAAAATTTGATTAAGCTATGGTGGCTATTAATTCTTTGCAGCAAAATCAGATGAAAGATACATGGGTGGATTGGGGGTATTAGAACGCATTTAATACGTTCTCAATCGATTCAATTAGTTATTAGGGTATTAATCAATTTAATTAATTTTTTAGGGTATTTGGTCTAATTCCCTCATCTTTAATTGTAGGGTTGTTGGTAATTTTCTCATGGTTAATTACATAGGCCCAAAATCACAATTAGATGCCCACGAAACGAGTTGGATTGAGTTTTTCATTTAGGACTCGACCCATTTAACCTAAATGACACTGTGCCCTTGTTTGAGCTCCATTTTTTTTGTTTTTTAAAAGAAAATATACATCCTTAAATGATATTTTGATATCATTTCAACCACACATTTTTTAATAAAATAATATTACACGTAAATTCAAAACTTTTTCATATTTTTTAACCATACATTTTTATAAATATACTATTCAAAAATACGTTTTCCCTCTAAAATGTGGCTCAAGGGCTATCTATTCCCGCCCCCACCCGGCGGTTATATCCTAAAGCCCCATTTTTTAGGGAAAACGAGAGGCTGCTTCTTGTGCTTCCTCCCATGGCTTGCCCGGGCTTTGGCTCCTCTGTGTTGACCAATATCCTCCTCTCTCTGTCGGCGCTTTGGCCGGTGTCTGTGCTTCTGCCTGTTTGTACTGATTGTCCACTGCTATCTGCCTCTGTGCGCGGCTGTTCTCTGTGTTTTTTTTTGGATGGTTTCTTCGTGGCTTTTGAGTGTGATTCTTGGTTCCTTCATGTGGTGTTGTCTTGTGTGTTTTGGGCTTATAATCTGAGCTCTTTATAATCCACTTTTGGTGCCAAATCCTTTAAAATCGACGGGAATATTTGTTTTATATTCATAGCAATGGATTCTCATATTATTCATTGTTTTGGAATTAAATTAGTATTGTTTTAATCGTTGAAGAATCCAATTTTAACTACAAAAATGAACAAACTTAAATCTTTACTGTATTGAGCAAGAAATTTCCTTATAAACATAGTCATAGTAAAAGAGTGCGGGCAAGGTAAGAGTCGAAAGCTATTATGAGAATATACATCACAGAAGTCATAATGAATGAGCATGTCCGACACTTCGAAAATGGATGGAAGACCTTACAAAGAGAGCTGAAATGCATGCAAGATTTTACTCAAATTACAGAATACACAGTTACTCACTGTTCTGAGTATATTCTAAAAATAACTTGTTTGCTAGCAAAAAGGAAGATAAAATTCTGCAATCCCACTTCCCATCATCTTATCGGCGATGTCTTGAGAGACAACAGACTATCCAAATGTGAAATCCTTGAATTGGCATCCCGGGATGGGCCAAATACCTCCCAGAAGCGAAGAGTCTCGTCCGCTCCAGCAGACACCACTGTTAGTCCATCTGGGCTCTGTAACATATAAATCAGATGAATTAAAGTTTTAGAACATTTTAATACTACACCCCAATATTAAGAAAGAGACCAAAGTCAAATTCATCTCAAAGTTTGAAATATTAAGTTAGACCTGGGATAAATGGAGAACTCTTGATGTATGATTCATCGACCCTCCAATTTTACACATCGAAGGGTACCTCCACAAACACAACTGGTTTTGACAACCGTAGCCAAAGCCGTGACCACTTAATATCTCTTGATGATGCTTGTTCCATTGCAACCCACTAATCTGTTCACATAACATCATATAATTTTAGTCAAAGCAATACAATTCTACAGATTAAACCCTAACCTTGGTTTTGAGACCATAATAAACCAAACACAATCACAAAAGAAACAAAGCATATGCGTGAATTTTTAGTGGTTCACCCTCAGTGTCAGAGTAACATTCACTTTGCTAATAAAGGTTCTCAACATATTGAACAATAATAGTACAAGCGATATAATGCATCTCACTCCATAAAAAGGGCATCCTAAAATCCTTTACATGGTAGGAATATTAGGCCAACCTAATACATGTATGGAGAAATACCTAATATACCTCTGAAAGTAGAGTCCAACAAAATTTTCCTTAAGTGGTAGTAATTAAATACCAGTGCATTTATAATAAGGTTGAGATTATATGTTTTAACTTGCCTGTGCTTTTGTGTCAATGCTGTTAATGCATGTACCCTTTTGTATATTCCATATCTTTATAGCACCATCATCGGTGCCTCCTCCAGAGGCAAGCACATCGTAGTTATATGGACACCAGGCGAGGGCCTTCACTGCAGCACAATGATCACTGAACCGATAGATGTATTGCATGGCTCCCATCTTGCGTGCATCCCATATGTAAACGAGGTTGTCATTACCTCCACTTGCTAGTCTGTTTCCCGTGTTCGACCATTTCAAACCGCAAACTTCATTAGTGTGCACTTCCATACAGCACGCCAAACTGTTCCTTGCTCTCACTGTAAACAAAAATTTGAGGAGTAAATGGTACACTCATTTGTTTACTATTTGGATTATAGTAGCGGGAAATGATCAAGCTTGATTACCATCGTGATTGATGATAGCATTATCACTACTTCCAGAAGTCAAAATCTGGCCATTCCATGCAACAGAACCCACCCTATTCTGATGCCCTGTAAGGCATCTCACCTGTATAATAAATGGAAAAGAGCTTGAGTCTAACTTGTATGAAAGAATGATTCAACCATTTTTGGCTAAGCTTAAAAAGTTCTCTTGTAATGAAATAAACAAAAGTAACTTGTTTACTTTTTTTTTTTTTTTTTTGAGCCAAACATGCTCTAACAATTCAGATCATGTAAAATGTCAGACTGAAGGTCATACAATCTTTAGAGTCTCGGCATCCCAAAGATATATTCTCGAGCACTGGTATCCTGCTGCTACTGTTTTGGCATCTTCCGACCAGGTAACACCAGTAGGATAATCATCACCATTGCTCACTTCTGACAATAATTCGGTTTTTCGATTATCAGCATTCCACAAGTATAATTTTGAGCCCAAAGCAATTGCAAGAAAGTTGGTTTTCCCCCAGTCCATGATGTTCAGGTAGAAATCGTTCATGATATTAGGTGCATCCAAAATACAAGATTCTCTCTGCAAAGAGTCTACCATGAGGATATTTAAGAGATTATTAACACATACTAATTAGCAAATAAGTCTGCTTGATCTCTTTATCGATATCTTTTATGTTTCTAAATGCATTTTCTTCTTGCCAAATATTTTTCAGAATGGCGATTTCAATCTTATATGTAAATCATTTTGTTGACAAGACCTACGAAACATAGCATACCAGTATTAGAACTGTACATTTAACATTTTAGGATCTAAGTTATTATATGTACCAGCCTCAAGTAAACCGAATGTTATTCAAGCTATGGATAGAAATAATAAAAAGAAAAACAACCAGAAATGATAAAGCACACATGAATTCATGGCAGTTCATCAATAAGAGATCTATGTTTACTTGATGCTGCAAATTTTAACCTTTTCACTATGAAATAGAGAACGGTACAAAGTCTTCTCAAGCTTCTCAGTCTATAACTCACATGAAAACGGCACCCTAACAAGTCCTTTGTACTGTAGAAGCTTTAGGTCATCCGGGAGAGAGAGAGAGAGAGGGGGGGGGGGGGGGAGGGGGGGGGGGGGGGGGGGGGGGGGGGATAACAGTACAACCCCAGAAATCAGTGTCTTATTTCAAATTTTGCTTTACCAAACAAGAATTGAGTCCGTCAACTTACCGAAATCAAACAGAAGCAGACCACAATTTTTTTTAGAAATTACATATGACAGAGAGAAAATTATAATTACAAGGGAAAGCCGCAAGTCTATTCTACAAATCTTTTACCTTTGGAAATTGTCGACGTGACTTGTGATTCAAGATCTCCTCATCACTCCGTCGCATCTCGTCTATTAGACGGTTTGATTTTCTACTCGATTTTGGGCTACCCCTAAAAACCAGCATTTGAAATGGCCTTCCTTCAACATCCAACTTCAGATTATTTTCCAGCTTTCTTCTATATTCAGCCTATCAGGTAATCCATACAAGAAAGTCCCCATATCAGAAATCCCTATTCTCATTACTGATTAAAATATCTCTAAG